AGACCGCCACTACAGCTCCTGTGTAACCAACAGCCCTCCTCCCCAAGTTCCATAGCCTCCTCACCCAGATGCCCAAGAACACGGTGTGGGGGCCTTCGGCCACCCAGCCACTCCACCCCAGAGGATTGCCCAAGCAACAGAAGGCTGGCCTTCAATAAGTTTTAAAGTTTTTTAAAGTGCAGTGTGTCCTTGTGCTTCCCTCCTCCCCCTCCCCTCCTGGGCTACCTTGGCAGTTATCCCCCTATTTGTGTGATGAATTAATAAAGCATGCATGAATGTGAAGTAACAATGACTTTATTGCCTCTGCAAGCAGTGATCGAAGGGGGGAGGGGAGGGTGGCTAGCTTACAGGGAAGTAGAGTGAACCAAGGGGGGAGGGGCTTCATCAAGGAGAAACAAACAGAACTTTCACACTGTAGCCTGGCCAGTCATGAAACTGGTTTTCAAAGCTTCTCTGATGCGCACTGCGCCCAGCTGTGCTCTTCTAACTGCCCTGGTGTCTGGCTGCACGTAATCAGCGGCCAGGTGATTTGCCTCAATCTCCCACCCCACCATAAATATCTCCCCCTTACTCTCACAGATATTGTGGAGCGTACAGCAAACAGTAATAACAATGGGAATATTGGTTTTGCTGAGGTCTATCCGAGTCAGTAAACTGCGCCAGCGTGCTTTTAAACATCCAAATGCACATTCTACCACCATTCTGCACTTGCTCAGCCTATAGTTGAACAGCTCCTGACTACTGTCCAGGCTGCCTGTGTATGGCTTCATGAGCCATGGCATTAAGGGGTAGGCTGGGTTCCCAAGGATAACTATAGGCATTTCAACATTCCCAATGGTTATTTTCTGGTCTGGGAAGAAAGTCCCTTCCTGCAGCTTTTGAAATAGACCAGAGTTCCGGAAGACGCGAGCGTCATCTACCTTTCCCGGCCATCCCACGTTGATGTTGGTGAAACGTCCCTTGTGATCCACCAGTGCTTGCAGCACCATTGAAAAGTACCCCTTTCAGTTTATGTACTCGCTGGCTTGGTGCTCCAGTGCCAAGATAGGGATATGGGTTCCATCTATCACCCCACCACAGTTAGGGAATCCCATTGCAGCAAAGCCATCCACTATGACCTGCACATTTCCCAGAATCACTACCCTTGATATCACCAGGTCTTTGATTGCGTTGGCTACTTGGATCACAGCAGCCCCCACAGTATATTTACCCACTCCAAATTGATTCCCGACTGATGGGTAGCTGTCTGGCATTGCAAACTCCCACAGTTCTATCGCCACTCGCTTCTAAAGTGTGAAGGCTGCTCTCATCTTGGTATTCTGGTGCTTCAGGGCAGGGGAAAGCAAGACACAAAGTTCCATGAAAGTGCCTTTAGGCATGCGAAAGTTTTGCAGCCACTGGGAAGCGTCCCAGACCCGCAACACTATGCAGTCCCACCAGTCTGTGCTTGTTTCCCGGGCCCAGAATCGACATTCCACGGCATGAACCTGCCCCATTAACACCATGATGTGCACATTGCCGGGGCCCATACTTTGTGAGAAGTCTATGTCCATGTCTATTTCCTCATCACTCTCGTCACCGGGCTGCCGTCGCCTCCTCGCCTGGTTTTGCTTTGGCAGGTTCTGGTTCTGCATATACTCCAGGATAATGCATATGGTGCTTATAGTGCTCATAATTGCTGCGGTGATCTGAGCGGGCTCCGTGATCCCAGTGCTATGGTGTCTGGGCTGAAAAAAGGCATGAAATGATTGTCTGCCATTGCTTTCAAGGAAGGGAGGGAGGGAGTGGGGGCCTGCGGACATGCATCCAGAATCACCCGCGACACTGTTTTTGCCCCATCAGGCATTGAGATCTCAACCCAGAATTCCAATGGGCGGCGGAGACTGCGGGAATTGTGGGATAGCTACCCACAGTGCAACTCTCCAGAAGTCGACGCTAGCCTCGGTACTGTGGACGCAGTCCGCCGACTTAACACACTTAGAGCATTTTGTGTGGGGACACACACAATCAACTGTATAAAAATGATTTCTAAAAAACTGACTTCTATAAATTCAGCCTAATTTTGTCGTGTAGACATACCCTAAATCGCCCTACGTTATGTCAACTTACAGCCACTGCAGTAATTAAACTGCTTCTGCATGTCCACCCTATGCACCTTGTAGCGGCAGTGCACGTCCTCAACAGAAATGCTTGCACCAATTTAACTGGCAGTGTGGGGCATTGTGGGATGGCATCTGAAAGGCAGCAACAGTCGAGTAGTGTGGGCCAGGCCTTAGAGAAGCAGTGGATGGCTGGCCATTGGATAGGAATTGCATTGCAGGCTCCATGCAAACTCCTGGCAGACTGGAGTGGTGGAGGCATGGGGCTGAGAAAACCCTCAGCCTTGCAGCTAGCAGAAATGCTCTCCTATAGTGCAAGGAATTTTGCATTTAAAGAGTAGGCCATACCTAACGGTGCTACTACTGTATTTAACCTACGTATCCTGAAGAGTCTGCTTCACTCGTCCTTTGGGTGATTTTTTCCATCACATGCCCCCAAAAGCTTTGCTCTTTTGAAGGTGGTGTTGGGAGGGATGGGAGGGAGAAGGTAGGTGAGATGACCTCCTGAGGTCCCTTCCAGTTCTATGGTTGTAAGGTATCTGGAACTGGTGGTATGGACCCGCTGTGTATAAACCTTGCCAAGTGTGGCCTATAGCGGAATAGCATGTGCAATCTAGTGCCAGCTGCATGCTTCCCCCCCACCCCCCATTTCAAGCACACAGACCATCTCTGCTCCTATACGGAGTTGTATGGGCCACCTCTCCCTATGGCTTATTGTGCAACATCCCCGTGGCAGCGACAGTAATCCCTTACGTGGAACATTAGCACAAGGAAGGTACTTTAATGCAATTGAGCACCTGGAAAAAAGGCGGGACAGCCCCATGGGGTATGATCCTGTGATCATTGCAGTTAATGGGCACTTAGACCCCATTTTTAGGCTCCACTGAACTCGCATCTAATCCTGTAAGTGCCTAAACTCACTTGGTGCCTACGTTTTTAGAGTAAAAACTCCCTTGGTGCCTATGTTTCTGCCTCAGAGCATGTATGCTGCCACCTCGTTCTTGGCATTTGGATGCCTGTCTCCCCTCCAGGTACCTGTTAAGCCCCAGACCAATTCTCAAACCAGGAGGGAGAGAGGCAGCCAAACAGCATACCAGGCGTGTGGGGCCCAAGCCAGTAAATGTGCTCAGAGATTGCCTACTGGAGCAGATCCCATTCAAACTCTGGCTGGTGGCAGTAGGGCTCCTGCACCGCATCACTTTTAGCCCAATGCTGTCACGTTCAGCGCAGGCACAGCAGAGCCAGGTTCACTTCTCCCCTCTGCTTAATGGAGAAGGGAGATTTGAACAGGAGTCTCCGGATGATACATAATGAAAGAGTGATTAGAGTACGGGGACTGGCCCCTGCATCTCCCACCGCCCAAGTGGGTACTTAAACCACCAGGCTACAGCATCATTCTCCTTCGGGCCTGATGACTCCAAGTATTTATCCAAAGGAGCACAACATCAAAAGGAAAGATGGAGGGAGCTCCACAACACAATACCCTATTGCCCGTTGGTTAGAGCCCTCTCCTGAGCAGTAGAATTTGAGCAGGGAGCTCCCCTCTCCCTGTGAGGCAGAGGGGTGAGTTGAACCTGGGTCGCCCATGACTGTGTGCTAAGCACGGGGCTAGAAGTTATAAGGTGGGTGGTACGACCACATCCCACTTCTGCCACCATCTTGTGTGGGGTGAGACAGGTGCCTAATTCATTCTTGCAAGAAACCTTAGGTGCCTAAGCCACCTGAGTCCAGGCAATGGGTTCCTGGTTGTCAATCACTAGCAGAGTCGGGCTCGTCCCTGCAGCCCAGACTTGGGCACCAAACTCTATGAGAGGGGCAGGGCTTAGGACACAGCCCACTTGTTGGTGTCTCCCATTGGTTAGTTTAGGCAGCTCCACACCTTGCCTGCTGGCTTCTGGGCATTATATTCTAAGGCACCCCATTCTCTCCCCATTTGTTTTATAGGGAGATAGGCCCCAAACTCAGGCTTTGTGGATCACAGTGTTGTTCCTATGATTTTTTTTTTCCAGGCACCTGAAAGTTAGGCATTGCAACTCTCAGGGTCTGGTCCCTGAGGCCCTTGGTAAATCCTGGCCCACATGGTTAACGCCTTTGTGGTCTAGGTTGGGTACCAGTGGTATGGACTGTGGCTGTGGGATAAGTAGTGTTGGCTATTTCCAGAGGAAGAAAACTGACTTCAGACCTTTAAGGAAGGCTAGGTCAGAAGTAATATTGTTTGAGCACTTGGTCAAAAGCAGGAGAACGCTGGAGCGTAACCCTACCACAGCGATGCAAGGAGGCAAGCTAGACCCAGGAAGTGTTACATAGGGCTGTTGTAACTCTGCTTAACGGTCTGTGAAGCAAGGATTTAAATGACTTTCCCTGATGTGTGTAATAAATAGGATGCATTTCCTTGTTATAAACCTGACACAGTCACCAATGCTTGTTTACAGGTTTCCAGGATGGGAAATCACACACCCTCCAGAAACATTTGCACACTTGTACCACATGCCCAGGGCCAAATTCACAGCTGATGCAAATTGGCAGTGATGTTGACAGAGCTCTAGTGATTTATACCATCTGAGAGGCTAGTGATCAATTCTTTACCCACACACGTACTGTTCCTTTTTCATGCCATGCCAGGAATTCACCTAGAATTCAACTACTGCAGGGCAAATGGGTAGCTAATATCTGTGTGCACTGCAGTGACTTTGCCTTGATGGGAGCTATTGGTCTTGCTTTGTTTATTGAGTGGTTAAGGAGTTGCTTAATCTGGTGGACAGCCGGGCTCATGGCAACTTGTGTGAGGCGGGAATGGAGTTCAAAGGCAAGGAAGTTACAGTCTGAACACTTCATCTAGTGCCAAAAGTGACATCAATGGGACCAAAACTATAAACAAACATTCCAATTTGCCAAACCCACAACTTACTAACAGTCTGTTTAATAGTCACTTAAATTTTCATCTGGATTTTTACAGTGTTACAATTATTTTTTTAAAACCTTTTTAAATAATACTGTAATTCCTTATGGTTTTGCCATGTCTCCCCCCCCCACACCCCACTTTCAATCTACAGTAGTAAAACATCACAGAGTTCTAATAGAACATCAAGAAACAAGAATTGTAGTAATTAAAAAAAACAAAACAGCCCAACCATCTTCATGTTAAATAATTGCACGACAAGTAAAAGATATTAATGCTATTAGAGCAGTACAGCTACAGCCAAGAAAATAACTCGGAGGTTTGTCTCAAGTGAATCATCCACCATTAATGCAGGAGGAAACCAAGGAAGGGGGAGAATGTGGCCACAGACATAGAAAAGCATTCAGTTGGTTGGCAGCATGGTCAATGCCATCTTTTAAAGGGTTAATACTTTGTTAATGCCGTCTGTCATGGCCATTGACAAAACCCAGCTGCATCTAAGAATTTCCCCCATGAGCAAATGTGGTATGTGATGTGGCCCAAATTCACAAAGGTATTTAGGCACCTAATGCCCAGCGATTTCAAGGGGAGCTAAGCAACTAAGTACTTTTTGTGAATCTGGAACCTGGACCTTTTGGGGCCAGACTTCCAGCTGGTTTACAGCAATGGCCCAGAAGCCAATGGTCTCCATGGAAATCAATGGGTGATTTGGTCAGCAGGTCACGTGCAATTGCAACGCAGCTGGGCTGCAATGCAGCTGCTTGTGTTTGGTGCCAGGACACTATAATAAACAGCCAGGTCTAGTTTAAAATGTTCCGTGGCTTAAAGCATCTGTTGAACTGTTAATTCAGGATTAGCCGCCATAAAGTACAACCAGGGTCACGATCCCTCCCACCAAGGAAACCCCGCACCCCATGAGAATAAAGAAACTGGCGTTAAAACCTGTGCGTTAGGGGACCTCGGCAAAAGACCGCACTGAGCAGCAGTCTGTCCTCCTCCTCCAGCTGCTCACGTCAGCTTGTGTTCTCACTTGTGCAGGGCTGGGAAGAGGGGGACTTGTCACTGGGCTCCAAGGCCGCCTCACCTTATCCTGCACCAGCAAGAGGCCCTGTTGCATCCCTTGATGCGTCTCACCTGGAAGGGCCATGCATGGTAATGGTGCTAGAGAAATAATGATAGTAAGTGGGTGACACTCCTGCTTCTGTGCAGCACCACAGGCAGGCAGCAGAGTCTACTGGGTAGGGCCCTGGACTGGGAGTCGAGCGAGCTGGGTTCTAGATGTGGCTCTGCCACTGTCCTACTCTGTGCCGTTGGGCAAGCAAGTCAAGTACCCTCTCACCCTTTGTCTACTTAGATTGTAAGCGCCTGCTCTGCATGTGTTCAGCACCCAGCAAAACGGGGACTCTGGCTCAGCTGGAGCAGCCAGGTGTTAGTGTAATATCAATAAATGTTCCCCATGTGGCCTATCCTGTCATTCAAATAACTAAAACAGCAGCAGGTACTCGTGCTGTCCCACCATCTGGAAGCTGGGCTTACCGTGGTGTTGCAGGGTGGTATGTGATGCTCAGTGAGCAACAATCTCCTGTGAGGTCAACCATAGACCCCAACGCCTCAGTCCTTTTAAAAAGTGACCTAGACAAAGTGCTGGCGCGTACAGGGGACACCAGGACTAGAGATATTCCTATGTTGGCCAGGGCTTGGACTGGCTAACCAATTAGGGCTTTGCCATGTATAGTCGCTGTGATAGGACCAGGGGCTTCTTGGGAAGGCAGGGCTGCCTGGTGGGGGGCTCTGTGATGCAAGTAGTTCAAAATGCGAAGAGCAGAAGCAATCTGGAAATGGCTGTGAAGCCCAGTCACAAGTGGGACAAATCAGCTACCCTGGCAGGTGTGAGTGCCCAGTGTCTGGCAGATGCAGGGGTTTCTTGGCAGAGTCCCTCTCTCTAGGCTGACAAAGCCGCCTACACTGCTGCCCCTGGGAAGTGATAAAAAGGGGATGAGGCTGCTAGAGAGGAAAAGTCTCTCTCTTATAAAAATACCACGTATGCAGTACTGCTTGGTGAGCAACAAACTCACTTCTGGGCCAAAGCCGTATGTGTTCAAGTGTCCTTCAGAGACGATATTAAGCCAAGGTCTCTTTGGCCCATCCCCTGGGGGCTGCCCATGTGAAATCTAGTTGTCCTGGCATTTGCTGAAAAGAGTAAGAGGATAAACCCAGGTGTCTTGGCCAAGATTCCGCCTCACTGAATCCAGCTTAAATATCCAGGGTTGTGTATGAATTATGGCTGAGTGCGTCAAGGTTACTGCACTCCTGGCAGCTAGCTTATCATTGCTTTGTACAGTGACTTGAGATCCCTTGAGTGGGATGCACTGGCCCAGAGAGGCAGGGAGACAAATAACTAAGCATGATTGCGATATGGGCCAAGGTTAATGTAAGGGTTTTTATAACACCTGGGACTCTGCAAGTGGTGATGATTTTATAACAGAAACCAGCCCTTGGGTCTGGGGCATAAGCCACCTCGGAGCTGCTAAAACCTCTCTCCCGTTTCCCCAGCAGGGCAAACGCATCATGGGAGGCATTTAAAGCACCAGTGAGTGTCTACTGCTGGGGGCAGAAGGGTATAAGACCTTTGTGACAGAGCATGAAAAGTGCAATCTGGGATCCGTGTGGATTCCGTTGCTTTGTTGCAGACTTTCTTTTGCAGGGGGACACTCGTTGGCTGCATTTAGTACCTCACTGTTACTCTTCCAGGTAATGGTCTAACTATGGTACTGGCAGCTCTTCTCGACTCACCAGTCTAAGTCAGCTCTCCCGAGGTCAAGTTTGTCCACCCAATGTGTTATAATGCAGAGGGAGTCTTATCTTGCATCTGCCTGTCTGAAAAAGGTCAGGAGAACTGACATATCTAATGTGCAAAATTCTCAGGGCATGGTGGTTGTTGATATGCAAATACTGTTAGGTAACGCTGTGGGCATTAACTCCACCCTAGATACAAAACAAACAGATTTGTGTCCTTGGCACTTAGTGGGAGAAAAGAAGGTTGGCAGGAAAGCATAAGGTGTAGGCTCAGATGGCTTCTGCCAGCATTAAAATATTAAAAGGAGATTCTATTTTGAAAGCTACTATAAATGTTCCATCATGGGGCCCCATGTTCATCTCACAGTTGTTCCAAATCAAAAGTTCTCAGCTGGCAAGGTCAAAGATGTTTCTCTACCTGCCACCTCTGTAGCCTCACCTCACCTCACTCTGGGACTGGAGAGTCTTTCACCCTCTCCGATCATCACTGGTAATAAAGATCCCTTCTGCCAATGAACTGGAATTGAACTAAGCCCCGTCTCCCCTAGTGCTAATGGGAGTTTAAAACAGGGAAGCTGTGACTAAGTAGGAGTGAAGATCCTTGCTGCCATGGCATGAATTCTTGTGCAGCAAGGGCTGTACAAACACAGCGCTCCTGTCAGTCCCCTCAGGGGTTAGCTCCTTATGCCACAGGTGCCGTCTTTTCCTTTTTCCCTGGCAGTGCTCCACCCCTGCTTTGCCCTGAGGCTACACCCCCACTCCATCCCTTCCCCCAAGGCCCCACCTTCACTCTGCCTCTTCCCGCCCCCCAATCACTCTCCACCCTCACCCAAGCCCTTCCCTGAGCTTCCAAGCAGGGGCAGGGAACAGCTGTGGCTGGTGGGGGCTGAGCACCCACAGGGTCGGTGCCGATGCCTCATGCTGCAGTAACCTCAACAAACACGCTTGTGAGCTGTGGCAAGAAAGAGCAATCAAACTAGGGAAGAATAGCCCTATTCTGGGGGTGTGGGTGAGGGGCGCTCTTAAAAGAGCCAGATTCAACCCAGGTGCTCTACTGAAGTCACTTTTCAAATGCTTCACCTTTCATGAAAGAATAAGCCAAAGATCAGGTTTTTAGATGGGATCTCCCAAGGGTTGGACTGCATCTCTTCAGTAGGTAGCCAAGGTCTGTGAAGCTGCTCCTAGGTGTGTGTTCATGGTTCATTCCACACTCCGGGTGGAGTTTCACTTTCTGCTAAGTGGAGAGGGATCTGAAGATAAGGAGACAACCTCTGCTGCAAAGTGGAAACAATCCCACGGTTCCTCTCACCCTCCCTTCCCCAAATCCTACTGGTCAAGCTGAGTGGCACCTTTAAAGCTGATAGTGGGCCATGTGCTGAGGTTTGGTACCAGGGTAAATGCTCCCCAAGCATCTACATTTTAGCAAGAGCTCTGCCCAAACTCATCACTGCTTAGCAGCTGTTATTTTGGCAAAAAAGGACACAAATGTGGTGCAGTGAAAAGTACATTGCTACTGCCCTGTTAACCTCAGTGACCACCCCGACATGCCATTTGGAGCTGACTACAATCGGAAGGACCTTGCAGGATCCCAGCACAGAGCCAAGATCAGGGACTCTGGAGAACGAGCAAGGAATGAAGGGGTGGGGGGAGGGTGCTACAAGCCCTCCCTACCCTGTGATGATTTGAAGATTATTGCTGCTGCAGTCCAGAGCTCGTGCTTTACAACTGCAGCGTTTTTTTTGTTATCAGATCTAAGCTCAGAGCTGGATCCTTATGGGGAAGAGCTAAATCTGACGCTGATGCCCTCTTTCTGCTTTTCCAGACCTGATGTTAATTGAGAGGCTGGGTTTATTAATTCCAAATAGGAGATTTCTCTCCCTGCCTGGCTTCTGTTGTTCTGATTTTGTTCTCTTTGAGGGTCACGCTGCATGGGGAATGTGGGTGGGAGTCGTGGGCTGGAACCTTTAAAAGTGTAACTTTCATTCTGGAGTATGTGTTCACCTATACAGTCCAAGGAAACTCTTGGCAAAATGAGCAAAACAAACAAAAACTGGGTCTCACGAGCCCTCCAACTAGAAAGGCTGTTGGCCGTGTTGAAGAGTCTAATACCGGGTAAGTCCTGCAAAGAGCAGTAGCTTGCCTCCCTGGTTTAAGCTTTGTCTTGGGAGATTTCACTGACCTCCTGCAGATCCATTTATAAAACTCCCACAAATGCTCTTTTCTCCCGCTTGCCTCTTAGGGGTCTGAGCGTGGTTCCTCAACCCCTCAGTTGTCTTTGTCTCCATAGTCATTAGAGAGGATGCTTAGCGCTTGCTCTTCGCATGTCTTCTTGAGGTCCCGGCTCAGCTCCGACCAGTTAAGTCCGTATGGCTTGATCTCGCTGTAGCGGCAGGCGAGATACCTGAGCGACGTGCGCTGGAGGCTGATCTTGGGCTCCTGAAGGAGGCTGTTGCACCAGCCGCTGAGGTCCCCAAGCTGGGAGAGAATGAGGCCGGCCTTCCTGCAGACAGGGCAGAGGAGAAGCCAGAGAGGTGGTGGGACAAGAGGTAAGATGGGGGTGGGGAAAGGGAGAGAAGGTGTAAAAAGAGAGAAGCAGGGAAGGTTAAACAGACCATGAAAAGGCTCTGGAGAACAAGGATAACAGTCCTGTGGCAGATAAAGTCACTGGGTCCCCCTAACTCTCCATGCCACCTGAATGCAATGTCTCCCTGCCGAAGGGGGCAGGGTGGACCAGCGTCAATGCTGAGGATGAAAAGCAAAGCTGGCACCAACCCCACACCCAGCTACCATGCTTCTGTCCCCATCTCAGCCCCCTAGTCACTCGCAGCTTTTGTTTCTCTGAGGGTGGGGGTTAAGCTCATGTAGGATGAGATGCCCATCCTGCTCAATCGAGGGAGGGGCCCCAGAGCCCAGAAAACAACTGAGTCTGTAGGACCACACACGATAAGCTGGGAGTGGAGATCAAAAGTTTAGACCGAGGGCTCTGGATGGGGACACTGAGCAGAGAACACAGGACAGCGCCCACAACTCCATGAAGGAATCCGGGGAACTGCGGGCACCACCCAAAAGAGGAAAAGTGCAGCCAGAACCTAGGCAGGAGGCTGTGGAGGAACCAGAAGAGGAGCTGCAACCTGGTGCACTGCAGGTAGGTGTGTGCCAGGATCTCCCACTCGCCCGTGGGAGATCCTGGCGGGCAGAGGGTCGGTGAACCAGGCCACCGGCTGTCCCCATTCTGGAGCTGCCAACTACTATCCCTGGTGGGCTAAGAGCAAGGTGGAATCAAGGCTGGCCCACCATGGTGCTCTCCCTTGCAAGGTGGCAGAATGTCCCACCACTTGCTTCTTGCAGGCTTTAGATGATTGCTACTGACATGGGTGGTTTTAAGGCAGCTACCTGGAGGTACCAGGCTGCAGAAGCCTGTTCCTAATCCCCGACAGGCCCAGACTAGCAAGGTGATGCCTCCTGGGAGGCGATGAGCACTTGGCTAGCAATGCAGGAGCTCAGCTCTCCCTAGCAGGCTGAGCATCATACAGTATGAGGCCCAGAGTCACTAAGGCCCAGATCCAAAGCCTACAGAACTTGAGAGACTCCCATTAACTTCAGTGGGCTTTGGACCAGGCACTAAACACCCACTGTTGGTCCGCTGGGAGGCAACCTGTCCCTCCGTGCTGGTTCTTCTCTAGAGCAGGTGGCTGGCTAACTGCACTCTGCGCGCCTTCACGGGGCGGAAGGGAATGGCCACGGTTCTAGCCCAAACCTCTTGCTTACAAACCAGCATTGCCGAGAAGTGACACAAGTGCATTCTGACAAAGCATGCCCAGGAACAGCATAGGAGGATGGAAGGTGCTGACTCCTGACAGCTCACTCAGGAGTCCAAGTGGCCTGGGTTTGTATCCAGGACACCCAAGGAGTACCAGAGAGCAGTCAAATGAACACTCTGTTGGCTAAATGATGTCATCTGCAAATGATTTCTCCTGTCCCCACCAGCCTGCATGCTTCACTCTAGCAGAGGATCAACCAAGAGGTCCGGCTTCTGAGCTCTGTCATCACCAGAGACCTCTGCAGCTGCCTCAGCGTTCCTTTCCAACAGCATGAGCTGCAAACACTTCATCAAAAATTGTCATTTCATGTCAAATGTTCGAACATTTCCAGGGGATGACATTAACCTGTCTGCAGTGTCGCCCTCTCCTCTTTGAAATTCAAACCAACCAAAAGATTCAGTACTGATCACTGCCAGCCCTGGAGACTGAACTTCTCCCATATACTGTGCACCACGCCATGATGGTTTACCTCCACCGTGACTGAAAGAAGCTGCCTCTAGGGACGACAGGGGAGTTCCCCTCTCCACGTTCCAGTCAGCCCTTGGCCCCTCTGCCGAGAATGCCCAAGGGGAGGATAATCAGGACCAGTTCTGGTACTGGCTCTGTCACAAGGTCGCCAGTCTGGGGTTAGTCTAGTTCCCAGCAATTGGCTGCCCCCAAAGAAGCCACCATTGGAGCGGAATGATGTTTGGTCACTACCTCCTGGTGCTCAGTTTCAAGAAAGGAGACAGAGGAAGAGCAGCATGAAACCTGCAGGGGTCAGTATGTGTATGTCAAATACCAGCCCTCCCCCAGCAGGGCCTACGCCCAACGATGGCAACGTACCTACCTCTTGGAACGCCCACTTCTACAAGAAACTGGACCTTGAAAAGAAGCTACAACCCCTGCCCAGAACACCTAACCGCTCAGCCGCCCCCACCCCCCCAGGCCTTGGGAACCCCATGCCACACCTTTAAATGTCTTGGGGGGGCCTTCTTAGTCGCTGTCTTCCTCCCCCATACAGCTTTGAGAGAGCTGCCAGGTGGGGGGGGAGGGGTCTTTGAATCTTTTCTGGTGGAGCCAGAATGGCCCAGACCCCACGCACTTGGCAAGCGCAGAGAGGAAACCGCCCCAATGCTCATCCGGGATAAGGAAGGCTTAATAGTCTTTTTAGCACTGGGGAGTTAAGGTGGCCTTGGAGGTTCCCTAGCAACTGTACACAAGAGGAGACACCCACTAATACTTGAATGCAACCATGGAGATTACTGAGTACTGCCTGCCTCTGCGGAGTCTCACAGCTTTTGCAGCAGGACGGAGGCTCTTTCCCAGCTTCTTGGTGCTGTGTCTGTCTGTGGGCTCTGGGCCATTCTGTCCTCACCAGGGGATGTGCTGAGGATACAGGAGGCAGAGGCCCTCCCTGGGAATCTGCTGGAGAGCCACACAAGGACAGAGAGGGACCACTCAGTGCCCCTTGGCAACTGGGGAGGAGGGAATGAGAAAAGCTTCCCAGGCCTGGGGATACCCTGGTTGATACCCCCCAAAGCCCGGCAGATGCAAGCCCCAGTCCCACTTGAAGACACCTGAAGGTAAGATGTGGGGGAGGGTGGAGCTGGAGCTTGGGGTGAGGGAGAAGGTGGCTGTGTGAGTGCTGTGGTTCCCAGGCCCACCTGCCTCTCCTAGACCAGGGCTGGTGGTTGTGGGTTTGTCTGGGACTTAAAGCCACCCTGATTTTGGCTGAGGTCTGAGCGTTAGTTCACCCATTCCATGGTTGTGCCTGAAGGTGAAAAGCTCCTAATCCCATTGCCTCTTGTCTGAGTTACCCCTTCCCTCTCTTCAAGCTGCCTGCAGACACAGGCTGGGAAATCACTCCGCCAAAGCACACGCTGGAAGACATTGAGCCAGCTTCAGCCCGGGTGATACTGGCTTCTGCTGCTCTCACCCAGCATGCAGGACTCCTCAACAGGTGAATGGTTACCATGGGACAAGGTGCCCACAAGCAGATTCACAGATGACCAGTGAAAGGGCGAGGGCTGGGCAGTCGGGGGATGCGCTGTGAATACTTGGAGCTACTGTTCAGAGTATCCAGGAGGGGGCACAGAGAAAGGAGGTTAAGAGTCCGTGGAAACAGCAACTAAAGACAGCCTTGCATTCACCTGACCACAGTGTTCTAGTCTCTGATCTCTAGAGGGTGTTCGCTGTGGGATAGAAGGGGTCTGGCCCATCCCTGCACTGTCTCCTTTCTCTGAGAATCATTCACCCAAACATAATCTCCTGGACTCAGTAGTCTCAAGGATTGGACTCAATGGTGCGTGTCAAAGTCCCTCTTCTCATGGGTTTTTTATTGATCTTCCTTCTTCTCCGGTCTCAGGAAGTCACATCAACAAGGGTTGAGTTGGCCAGAGAGGGTTGGGATAGTGGCTCTCACCCTCTGTTTCTGTATCCTCTACAACCACATCCTATGCAGCCCTAAACCCAGTCTGAAGCTCTCCTTCCTGGGGGTGAGGGGGAAGTGCAAATGCTACGTGCCCTCCTCCACATCCGAGTCCTCCCTGGGCCACAGCAGCAGTGCAGCTTGTAACTGCAGTGAGGCCTGGATCTCATTTTGGGCCTATATGTGCCACAATAATACAATCTGCCAAATCTAACCTTCCTAATGGTAATAAGTCTCAGGCAGAGCTGCTACGCTAGCCGACACAGCTATCAGGCTTACCTGGGTCCTAATTCATCTTCACACCGCCATGTGAACTCCCCGAAGCTCTCGTAGTGCTGGTTGTAGTGGTAGAGGACCCGGTGCAGGCTGGGTGAGCCCAGGTCCAGCAGAGTGTTGTAAGCTGTCTGCTGCTCCTTGCCGCTGGTGTAGCCATTGAAGAGATTGTAGATCTTGTCTGCTATTTCTGGGTAGGATGGCAGAGAGGGCTGTCAGTGCGTTTGTCAGACAGAAAGGAAAAGTAACCTCAAACCAGGTCAGATATCAAGTAAAGAGCCCTGGGGCAAAATCCTGAACCCACTGCAGTCCAGAGCAAACTCTTACTGACGTCAACAAGGCCAGGATTCCCCCCGGGTGTCCTGGAATTTATACCGTGTCATCAGGTCATATTCTAGAACAGGGGTAGGCAACCTTTCAGAAGTGGTGTGCCGAGTCTTCATTTATTCACTCTAATTTAAGGTTTCGCGTGCCAGTAATACATTTTAACGTTTTTTTAGAAGGGGTCTCTCTCTAAGTCTATTTTATATAACTAAACTATTGTTGTATGTAAAGTAAACAAGGTTTTCAAAATGTTTAAGAAGCTTCATTTAAAATTAAATTAAAATGCTGATCTTAAGCCGCCAGCCTGCTCAGCCCACTGGGTGGGGGCGTGAGGGGTTCAGGGCAGAGGGCTGGGGTGTTGGGGGGGACTCAAGGTCAGGGCAGAGGGCTGGGTATGTGTGGAGGTGCAGGGCACAAGGCTGGGTGTGGGACTCGAGGTCAGGGCAAAGGGCTGGGGTGTGTGGAGGTGCAGGGCACAAGGCTGGGTGTGTGGGGGGGTTCAGGGCAGAGGACTGGGTGTTGCGGGGGACTCGAGGTCAGGGCAAAGGCCTGGGGGGGTGTGGGGGTGCAGGGCAGAGGGATGGGTGTGTTGGGGTGGGGAGGTGCAGAGCAGAAGGCTGGGGTGTTCGGCTCGTGGGGGTGCTCCCAGCCCCCTGCCCTGAGTGGCTCATGGCAGGGGGCTGGGAGGGATATGACCTGTTCCATCCCCTTCCCCCAGGCCCGTCCCTACCTCTCTCTGCCTGCTCTACGGAGCAGCGAGCACGCTGCGCTCAACTCTGCTCCTCTGGGAGGAGGAGGGGCCAGAAAGCACCACGTTGTGCGAAGAAGCGGGGGAGGAGGGAAGCTTGGCTGCCGCAGGACCAAGCTTTTGCCTCCTGCCCCCGCAGGGGAGAGTGGTGGCCGGGACACACACACACCCCCGCTCTCCCCTGCGGGGGCAGGAGGCAGAAGCTTGATCCTGCGGCAGCCAAGCTTGCCTCTCCCCCATTTCTTCCCTAAGTGTGGTGCATTCCGGCCCCTCCGCCCCCTCCTCTCATCGGGCAGGCAGCGTGCCACTCAAAATCGGCTCGCGTGCCGTGTTTGGCACACGTGCTGTAGGTTGCCGACCCCTGTTCTAGAAGGAGGGACAGTGGAACATACAGGATTTCCCAGGCTGGATTAGATCTTTGGTCCCTCTAGTCCAATGGCGTGTCTCTGACAGTGGCCAATACCAGCTGCTGTAGAGGAAGGTGCAAGGAACCCTGCAACAGGCACTTATGAGATAACCTGCGCCCAGGTGAAGATCAATACCGGATTTACAATGGCACCAGTGGCACCGGGCCCATGGTTGAAAGGGGCCCCAGCGTACTCTTCTCCACCCCCGCTCTCTCCTGTGGGGTCAGAGAAGCTTGACGCTGGGAGCTGCTGCGGCTCCGTGGCAGCCTCTGCTGGCAGCCTGGCTCCTGCCCCACCCCTTTCCCCAACGTGCTACGTTCCCTCCCCCTCCCTGCCGCCGATCAGCTGGATCAGCCTTGCTGGGGGGAGGGGGAGACGCAGCATGCCGCTCCGGGGAGCAGGAGGAGAAGAAGAGGCGGGAGCCAGGCCTCTCCCCTGCCTCTTTCCCCAGCGTGCTACGTTCCCTCACCCCCCTCCCTGCCTGCCACCGGTCAGCTAGATCAGCTCCTTGCCAGCAGGAGGGGGGGGGGGAGGAGGAGGAGCGAGCTGCAGCACGCCGCTCCGGAGAGGAGGAGAAGAGGCGGAGGTGAAGCCTTGGAGAAGGGGCTGGAATTGGGGCATATACCCCCTCCAGCCCCCTGCGTGAGCACCCCCCCGACCCCAGCCCACCCCCCAGCCCTCTGCCCACCCTAGCCCCTGCACTGCCCCAGCCCCCTGCATCCCCTCACCCCTCCAGCCCCCTGCCCTGACTTCTGCACCCCCCCACACACCCAGCCCCCTTGCACTGCCTCACACACATCCAGCCCCGTCCTGACCCCTGCACTTCCTCTCACACCTCACCAGCTCCCTGCCCTGACTCCTGCACCCCCTCATACCTCCCCAGCCCCGACTCTTGCACCCCCTCACACCTCCCCAGTCCCCTGCACCCCCTCACACACTCCCTGACCCCTGCACCCCCTCACACCTCCCCAGCCCCCTGCACCCCCTCACACACTCCCTGACCCCTGCA